CGGAAAAAAAAAAAAAAAAAAAAAAAAAAAAAAAAAAAAAGATTCTCTGTCTTTGGGCCGGCCTGGTGGTGCACTGCTACAGTGCGCTGCTTGGGAGCACGGTGGCGCTCCCGCCGAGGGTTCGGATCCCACATACAGACCAGTTCCCGCTCACTGGCTGAGCGTGGTGTGGGAGCAACACCGAGGGTTGTGATCCCGTTGCTGGTCCCGGTCCGGTACGGACACGACACTGAGGGTTGCGATCCGTTGCTGGACATGAAAAAAGACAAAAAGGAGGAAAAAAAAAAGATTCTCTGTCTTTGAGCTTTGCCAGTTTGACTATAATGTATTTTGGAGAGGGTCTTTTTCAGTTGAATCTGTTTGGGGATCTTTGAGCCGCCTGGATCTGAATGTCTGTGTCTTTCTACATACCTTGGAAGTTTTCCACTACTGTTTCACTGAATAGGTTTTCCATGCCTTTTCCTTTCTCCTCCCCTCCTGCAATACTCTTGAGTTGAATGTTTGTGCACTTAAGGTTGTCAGCTATCTCTCTTAGGTTTTCTTCAGTTTTTAAAATTATTTTTTCCTTTTTTTGTCCATCTGGGTTATTTCTTTTTTTTTTTCCTTTTTGTCTTTTTTCATGTCCGGCAACGGATTGCAACCTTCAGTGTCGCGCCCGTACCGGACCGGGACCGGCAATGGGATCGCAACCCTCGGTGTTGCTCCCACACCTCGCTCAGCCAGTGAGTGGGAACGGGTCTGTATGTGGGATCCGAACCCTCGGCGGGAGCGCCACCACGCTCCCAAGCGGCGCACTGTAGCAGTGTGCCACCGGGCCGGCCCGTCTGGGTTATTTCAAAAAGACTATCTCCAAGATCAGAAATTCTTTCTTCTGCTTGGTCTAGCCTGCTGCTTATGCTGTCAGTTGTGCCTTTTATTTCACTGAGTGAATCTTTCAGTTCCGTGAGTTCTGCTACACTCTTTTTGAAAGTATTAATCTCTTTGTAAGTTTCCTACTGCATAACCTGAGTTTTTGTTTTTCTCATTTCATTATGTTGCCTAACTGAGTCTTCTCATATTTTAGTGAGTTTCCTTAAGATTGTTGCTTAGGGGGCTGGCCCGTGGCTCACTCGGGAGAGTGTGGTGCTGATAACACCAAGGCCGCGGGTTCGGATCCCATATAGGGATGGCCGGTTGGCTCACTGGCTGAGCCTCGTGCTGACAACACCAAGTCGAGGGTTAAGATCCCCTTACCGGTCATCTTTAAAAAAAAAAAAAAAAAAAAAAGATTGTTGCTTAGAATTCCTTTTCGGTCATTTCAAAGATTTCCTGCTATATAGGGTTTGGTATTTGAGAATTACTGTATTATTTTGGTGATGTCATATTTTCTTGGATTTTTTGTATTTCTAATATCTCTATTTTGATGTCTGGTCATCAGCTGTTAGAGCAGTTGCATTTTCTGTTACTCTGGAGTGGGCTTTGAGGAGACAGACATCCTTTTCTTTTTCTGGTCTCTGCTGGTGACTCTCCTTGTGTCAATGCCATCGAGTGTCTGTTACACTGCTTGAATGGTGGCTGTGGCTACTGCTTTGGTGTTGAGCTGTTTTTGCAGCAGCTGTGGCTGGGGCAGTGGCTGTGGTGGGCTATGTACATGGAAGTGGTGTTTACGGCATGCTCCTTGCCTGCTTCTGGGTGGGGGGTGCTGCCCTCATCTCCTGCCTTAGGATCCCAGGCCTGCCTTGTTGCTTGCCTACTTCTGGGCAGAGGGTGCAGCCCTTGGCTCCTGCCTTAGGACCCTGGGCGTGCTTTCACTTTCCATCATTAAAAGTTAGGGTGCCCACATGCGGGTCAACTGGCCTGGATCAGACATGGGTCCCCAGTGGCATGTTCTTCTTGCCAACTTGGAGGGTCCAAAGCTCTTTGTGAGGTGAGGCAGACACAGATGGTGAGGATGACTACAGTCTGGAAGACTTAAGGGGTGGTGTTTGGGGCTAGATCTTCCTTTAATGCAGTGAGATGTTTTCTGTGTTTGGGAAGGCCAGTGAAAAGTGATATTTATGAAGCTTTTTTTTTTTTTTTTTTCTGCACCTGCTTCATGCCCAGAGCAACAGGTACTTCCCACACAGGCTGTAGAGCCAACCTTGCCTGCTCTGCACTCAGAGTCACCTGTAGAACTGGATCCATGACCATCTTCAGAGCCCACACCAGGGGCAGGGAAGTGGTCACGTCCAGTGATGGAGCTGGAACTTGAGCAATGTCCAGAGCCCTCCTGCCCCTGTCCTGTGATATGATGAGCCAGCCCAGTGTGGACATGTGTGACATCATGGCGTTCTCTCCCAAGCTGCTGGCAGAGCAGGTGACTCTGATGGACACGATGAGCAGCTCGGCTCTGCAGGGTGGGGCCTAGACAGGCTGTCCTTCTTGCACCTGCTGTCCCAGACAAGCCATTCCTGACCAGAGTCCAGTGATCTGGGTCCAGTATCAATTACTCATCTTACTAACCACGTGAACTGAACTAGTTTTATAATGCCTGTGACATTCCTGTCCACATGTCAACAGTATAGATGGGACACTGACAGCACCAGGTGCACGGAGTGACTGTGAAGATCAAATGAGTTGGGACATAGGGGAAGCAGGGCCAGGTCCTGGGCTGTTTGGGGATGGAGAGTGCTCATTGAGGTGCAGGCAGGTCCATGGGTCTCTCCCACCCACCCTCCCAGGAGGCTTCACCAGCTTCAGCACTTATTTAGCACCTGATGTGGACTAGACCCTGTAGCAGACATCCAAGTAGAGTCCCTAGTTGTAGCTTCCAAAGGGAATGTGAATCTGAATGCGGAAATGGACGAGAGGGCTCATTAGGATGGGGAAGATGCCACCTTGAGATGTGCATGCCCGGGACAGCTTCTGGATGTGGGGCTGGTGAGAATAACGTGGCTGCAACACTACAGAACCTTCCTCAGCTGTGGTAGGCCTGGGACATCATGTATCAAGTGCCTTTAGTGGGTAGAGAACCCAATCCAGGGACTCCTACAAGCCTCCAGCTACATTCTCAGCTTCCTGAGCTCCAGCTCAGACCACTGTCACCTGCCAGTGGACTGTGGGATACTGCAGATTCTGAGCTGGGGTGGACCGTGCCCCTGTAATGCTCTCCTCCTCCCCAGTAGCTATGCAAGAAAGTGGTGCCCTATTACCATTGGGGCTCCCCCTGGTCTCAGTAGAATAAGAAGGTCAAGAAGCACCTGGCACCAACTCCCCATACCACCATTACCCAGTTCCACAGTGTGGCCAACCATGTCATCACCACCTCCTTCAGGGACCACAGCTGGAAGGCCCAGGGACTGCTTTCCATCTCATAGATTATTCTGTTTCCTCCTCAGGAGTGCCACCATTTAGGACATTTTCCTCACTCTCTGCCATTGTCTGTACCCTGCCGGGCACCTCCGCTCACTGTCTGAAGAAGACACGGAGAGAAGTTGGGAGGTAGGGAGGACTTCCCCCTACCAGGGAAGTAGCACCAGGGACTACAAGGGACCTCTGTTGTGCTAAACATTGCTTTATCAGTGAGCCTGGAAGTCACTGGGGCCAGGGACACTGGAGGCTGCAATGAGCTGGTTGGAGAGGCCTGTAAATCTTTCTGGGACCTTAGGCCAGCAGTTCTGCCCAGGATTCAG